ATTTTTTCTGGGCCTCATCCTCCGGAAATTCTGTTTCTTTGTTACTAATGTTGTGGCCCCACCCCATAACAAAGAAACAGAATTGGAGGATGAGGTGACTCTAATGTGCAGCCAAGGTTGAGAACCTCTGGTTTAGGACATTGTAATATCAAATACATTTTTGAGGGTCTAGAAACTAAATCTCCAAGCAGTTGTTAAACCCTTCCACTGAACAAGCTCCTCATGATAAAAATGAATTCCTGTAATTGCTGGCCCACTGTCTTATTGCTCAGTAGTGTTAATGAGTAAAAAAATTTACTGATTGCTGTAAAAATACACATTAGTGAGAACCGAGGCTTTTGTCCCCATCCCAGGAGATTTGCAACCATCATTGTTGCTGATGTCACAGTCACCATGAATTATGGATAAGATACTCCTCTTAATAGAGTTTAAAATCTATCTTATAAGTAAAATTCTTACCATGCTGGCCGCTTGTTGCAGCAGTACCATGAAGCAAATGCCCACCAGCATCATTGTCTCTGAGAAAAAAAAAAATGAAGCATTTATGAGATTTATGAGTACATAAAATAGCTTACTTTATAAAAAAAAAACCATGATGATAATTTTAAGGAATAGACTAGTATAGTTTTCTGTAGATTGAAACTTTCCATAAGAATAAATTATCTTGGTCAGATAGGATAAAAATCAGTGTCATCCTTTACCTGCAAATGTAGCTTTTATTCTTGTGTTACCCATTCCTAGACTGGAAACCAGGAATATAGTAGCAATGTTTCTTAATACTTTAGAAAGACAAGCATTTGAGACCTAACCAAAGGAAAAGAGTAAAACTTCAATCTGTAATGGTTCATATCACTGATGAGTGTCTCCAATTGCAAGGAAGTTAGTTTAAAATCCCGTTTGTTTTTTTTAATTTTTTCTCTAGCTCAGTGGTTCTCAACCTTGCTAGAGCAGTGGTTCTCAACCTTGGCTGCACATTAGAATCACCTGGGAATCTTTTTAAAATCCTGATTTCTGGGCCTCACCCTCCGGAAATTCTGTTTCTTTGTTACTGATGTGGCCTCACCCCATGACAAAGAAGCAGAATTTCTGGAGGATGAGGCCCAGAAATCAGGATTTTAAAAAGATTCCCAGGTGATGCTAATGTGCAGCCAAGGTTGAGAACCACTGCTCTAGCTCAACCGCTGGAAAAAGTAAGTCACAGGTGTGCAAGGTTATACACCAAAGTAATAACAGTGGATACCTCTAAAGAGTGATGGATGTGCAGTTCCATTACAATTTCACTTTTAGTTCCTATAATTTTCTCCTATCATCATTATTATTATTAAACAATTGCCAAGTGTTACTTTTAATATTTCCCCCTTTTACATCAAAAGTTTAATGATGAAATACCTTTTGTTTCTATTAAATCTTGTTCTACATCTTCTTTATGACCATCAACTATGAAAACTGGCTATCACTGCCCCTTTAGGGCCCTTGTCTGCAAAGTTAGACAACCTGCCTCCTTCAACTTATTTACCATGTGCCTTTGAGTATCCTTAGCACCCTAGTGGCTTTGTCCTGAATGTACTCCCGTTTACCTGCAACCCCATTACAAAGTGGTATGCCCACTATAAACAGAATATTCCATGCATGAGCCATCTTTTGGGTTATTTGGTGCATTAGACCAAGGCAACGCTAGGAAAGTATTTTAACTAAATCCTAATCATTAATACACAACCCATTTAGTAGTAGTAAAGTTGAGGATAAAATTATAGGCTATAAAAGGTTTTTCTCCCACCAAGGATACCTCTTATCATTAAATAATGCAGCAAACGTTTTACCTGAGATAAGCAGAAGGAAGGGATAAGATGTTCCTAAGTCCCAAGGGAGATGAGCATATTTTGAGCTTCAGCATGGCAGTATATATAGGGACTCAGATCACTTCTCTTTCCTGTTTGGTTACTCTAAATTATGCAGGACTGAAATATGTTATACTGAAAACGTCCTCAAAGATCTTATCACCTGCTTCAGTGTTAAATAAGCCCATCATTTAATTCTACAAGGAACTAAGTTAATTGCTGTCCTGCTATAATTAGGTTTAATCATGTTAGTAATGATGGGTTAGGGAAGGACTGAGCTTTACTACAAGGTCTGGAGAGTGTCACACTATTTAGCTAGGTAGTGATTTGTGTATTTTTGTTCTCAACAGCCTTCCATGGAATCACTCATTAATTAGCTTTCGGTAAATTGCCTTTATGTAGTCTAAGGATTATATAATACATGTTACAAAATCCAACACTATCTTCCATTATTAAAATTAATTATACTCTCTAATAGGAGATATAATTAACAGAAAATTAATTTACCTACTTTTATTATCAAATGCCACAATATCAAAATAAAATGTTCAAGTAAATTTTTAGAAATATAATGTCATTATTTAGTAAAATATCTCCCAAATATATCAAAAGGGAAAAAATAGCCTTAAAAGTAATAAATTTGTTCTAATGACTGTTAATTCCTCATGCTTTCTGATTGTGCTAATGTAAATTGGAAAAGTAGCCACATAGTGTTTTAGGGGGTGGGCTTTGGAGCAAGCAACTCTTGTTCATAGCCCAGCTTCACCACTCACTGAGAAAACTTAAGCATCCTCTTTAAGCCTCAATTTCCTCATCTGTAAAATGGGTAATATTAATAACCATGAACTGTTGAGATTATTATTAAATAACTTATTTCATTTAAAACACCCAGTGCTTGCATTGCTATAAGCACTTAATGATTGTTATCATTATATTTTGCTAATTTTAATTGATTTGCTAATAACACTGGACAAAGTAAGATACTACGGAGAATATAAAGAAGTGAATGTGGAAGTGTTGTAGGTGGCGGGAAGGGCACCTGGTGTCGGACCAGTGGGGTCAGACTGGACCTTGGTACTTGAGTTCTGGCTAGGAAAGAATTCAGAGCCAAGACTCCAACTATAAGAGAACATTTATTGGTAAAATCACAGAGGTAGAAGAAGTAATTCGTAGAAGAAATGAGCTTATGAAACAAGTTGTAGAGGTAAAGGAAGGGCCCTTGGAGTTTGGGAATGAGGAAGCTAATGGTAACACCCCTGGGGGGAGGGGGAGGGGTAAGGGGAAGGGAAAGCTTGCTGGATCCTCTGTCCTAAGGGTTTGAAGGGTGGAGAAGTTAGGGGAGTTCCCAGGGGAAGATCTCAGTAGAAGATTCAGCAGTTCTCCAGGTGTGTCCTTTCTGAGTCTAGGTCTCTACTGATTGAATGGTCCGTGCCAGAGAAGGGGGTCATTATGAAGTATGGTAGCAATCATCTCAGGTAGAAACTATAGTTTAACTTTAACCCTGCTGTTTGGCTTCTGTACTTATTTGCTTTGTTGAATAATAGAAAAGCTATTTTAATTTTCTGAATTATATAAACCACCCCATTCCATTAAATACCCTATTGGTTATAATGTGAATATCCCATTGGTTGTGGTCATACTGGTCTTAGAAAGCACATTTTCCTTTACCTGGGAAGGACAGCACAGTTATCCCAAGGTCAGAGGGCTCCAGTTAACGTGTCCCTGTTGACTCTGTTCCGGAGACCCCAAAACTGTAATTTAGATAACATGCTTAAGTAAACTTTCTGCTTCTGTAAACTGCTTTTTTGCAAACCAGGTTCCTCATTCAAAACCTTGGGATGTAATCAATACCTTTGTGATCTTTGCCTATAATATATAAATCTGGTGTTGGGGCTGGGGGGTGCACTATGAGATCTGGGAGAGCGAAATGCCCCCTCATAGTCCCGGATTTGCAATAAATGTGACTCTTTAATTTGACTTCTTGAGGCGCCCTTGTGTGATTCGCGGGGTACATTACAACAGTTGTTCTTGGTAAATATAAATTTTGGCAACATATGCTTGTAGTTTCCCCAATAAGTCAGATTGTCTCACATTTATGGTGCCAAATATATATTTCGACTCACATTAGTAATTGATGAAAATTTAGTTCCATGCCCTGGGGTGATGTTAGCAGGACCATGATAAGAAAAGTAAGTGCAATGCAATGAGTTTTTCATGAAATTAATTTTATTTTGAAATATGGTCCTTTATTATAATGTTATGCCCTTCCTTCTTTTTAATGTTGAAATAAGACCTCCCTTTATGAAACAGTGGTGACAGTAGATAGTAATTGTTTTAATGTGTGCTTACTGTTTCTAATTTAACGAAATAAAAAGATGGAAATCATGTTTCTTTACTCATTTTCTTCCACTAGAGGAGGACAGACTTGTATTGTAAAGCTAATGTCTGAGACCAGCTGTTCCATATTCCATTCTCTGCTTCAAATGTTTTCTAGAAGGTGACTGAAGCAGACTGTCGGCTGCTAGAATGCCACTAGGTGTTAGACTGGACCTTGGTTTAATGACCCGGGTGCTTGAGTTCTGTCTAGGAAAGAATTCAGAGCCAAGACTAAAACTGTAAGAGAAAGTTTATTTAGAAAGCCAGAGGTAGAAGAAGTGAGTGAAGAAGAAATAGATTCAGGAAACAAATTACAGAGGCAAAAGAAGGGTCCTTGGAGCTTAGGAGAGAGGAAGGTAAAGGCCTTGGGAGGGAAGAGGAGAGGGAGGGGAAAGGCGTGGGCATGCTCCACAGAGAGCACGGACTGGGTCCTCAGTCCGAAGGGCTTTTATGGGTTGGGTCTTAGGGGGCATAAGCTAACTTGACATTGTTCTAAAGAAGACATCCATGTGGTCAACAGATACATGAAAAGGTACTCAACTTTGCTAATCACCAGGAAAATGAAATCAAAAGGACAGTGAAGTATCTGCCTTACACTTATTAGAATAGCTATTACCAAAAAGACAAAAAATAACAAGTGTTGGTGAAGATGTGCTACCCTGTGGGTAGGATTGCAAACTGGTTTTGCCACTATGGAGACCAGTATGGAGGTTTCTCAAAACATTGGAAATAGAACTACCACACAATCCAGGAAACCCACTTCTGGGTATGCATCCAAACAAAATGAAAACAGGTCATTGAAGAGATACATGCACTCCCATGTTTACTGCAGCATTGTTGACAACAGCCAAGACTTGTTCATCAATAGAAGAGTGGATAAAAAAGATGGGTATGTATGTCCAGTGAAATATTACTCAGTGGAATATTACCCAGTGGAATATTACTCAGTCAAAGAGAAAATCCTGTAATTTGCAACAACATGTATGGACTTGAAGGCATTATGCTAAGTGAGATAAGTCAGACAGAGAAAGACAAATTCTGTATGATATCTCTTATATGTGGAATCTAAATAAAACTGAGTCTGAAAAAAAAAAAACAAAGAGTGGGATGGTGGTTATCGGGGGCTGAGGAATGGGAATGGAAGAGTTGTTGTATAAGGATACCTACTTTCAACTAGTAGATAAATAAGTCCTGAAGAACGAATACACGGCGCAGTAACTCTAGACAACAAAACTGTATTATACACATTAAACTAAGCTAAGAGACTAGATCTTAATTGTTTCCATTACTAGAAGAAATAATTAAGTGACTCAACAAAGGTGTTAGCTAACACTACAATTACAATCACATTGCAATATATATGTATCAAATATGTTGTGTATTTTAATCTTACACAATGTTATATGGCAGTTATATCTCAATTTTAAAAAAGAAATTAGTTGAGAATGGAAAAATGTGATTTTTAAAGAAGAAAAAATGTTTTTAAAAGTATATGTGAGATTGTACACATAATAAAATTATAGCTTATTAAGAAGACAAATTATGTACTTAAATGCCTTGTGTGATAGTTTGAAGTAAAGAGGAAACTTGGCCCATCTTTGCTTTTCCTATATTCTAAGTCAGTAAAGCTTATTGAATAAAATTATATTGTATATAACTACCTGAAATCTGATACATTTGGCCTAGATTTCTTTCCTTAGATCTTTAATATTGCAAGATGTTTGCATGTATTTATTAGTTCTTACCAAACCTGTCTGACATGGTTAAATATGAGATCATTTGGGGCTAATGGGTCTATACAAATATATAGATATTTTTACCTTTTATGGTAAGCAAAATGTTATAACCATAAATATTCTTAAAAGGAACTCATTTTAAGAGTTTGTTGCTCAGCAGTATGCATAATTTCATCTCCCATTCAGAATATCAATTTTACATGCTCACAAAAAATAGTTGTGGAGCCACCTCACATAGAAATAGACTGTGTCATTTGAGCCCTTTCCTGATTAAAGAACTTATTATCAATGGGGAAACCACATTAATTAGAAGCTGATTTGAGAAAAGTTCTGTGCTTCATTTTTCTAATTTTTAAATGGGATAATTGTGATTTTTGCCTTAGAGGATAGGTTGCTAAAATGAAAGGATGTAACTTGGTATAAAGCACTTAGGACAGAGCACAAAATAGGGGCTCAATAAGATCAGCTATCATAGTACCCTCCTCTTCATCCTCCTTTTTCTCTTCTTCTTCCTCCATCTATTGGCTTATCTCTGAGTTCTAAGGTGATTCCACTGAGATATTATTTATATATGTCCTAATAATCATGAGGACCATTGAGGCATTTAGTTTAACCCCTTCCCCCAAGATTATTTGAGGACAGAGAAAGTGAATGTAAAAAAGTAAAATCACTTGGTCAGGTAATGTGGAACTGTCTGTTGACATGGGGTCTCTAATGATCTTGTTGAATATTGTTTTCACTTTAGAATAAATGGAAATAATGTTACACTTCTACTTTATAGAGTTTACTACAGTAGAAATGAAATAAGAAGAAAAAATCCCAGTTTTGCTTAAATGAAAATACTAAGAATTTCAGGACTCGTTATTTGTAATTGAGTGATCCTTCCTCTCTCTCTCTCTCTCACTCAAGATGAGCTGTACATGGCAAAGGGCTCTGCCTCCATGAGAGCCTGCAAATCCATTTCCCCCCATGTGATTACTAAATATTAGTTTTGGAAGGAAGAGACTTATTTTTACCTTTCATGTCAGGTAACCTATCTACTGGTTTTACAGTTAGCCATGGAGGGACAAATCCTGTTTCCCTCTAAGAAATGTCATCTCTGTTGACTCTGGTCTTGGCAATTTATTGTATGCTCCATATCTCTTGACATTTGGTGGCATATTTGCAAATATAGCCAAAGAATAATGACAACAATAACCTCAAATCCATAAATTATACCAATAATAAAGTATCTCCTATGAACTTCTAATTCAGTACTTTAAACTTTTAAAGTATTTTCTTGTGTGTGATGTTTCCAATCTCACAGTCTGAAGCATCTTTAGCCACAAAACAGTACTGAGGATTTGAATGTTTCCCAAAGAAAGTCATCTCTGTGAATCATTTCCTCCTAAGATTATATTTGGTATTCATTCACCTCAGTGTGGATATCAGATACCAAAAACTGAGTCTCCCCTTTCTACATAGGCAGGTTAAACATGTGTTCTCTTCCATATTTTTGCATTATTGATGGAGAATCAAAATTTCAGCTCATATTGTAGTAACAGACTGATCGAGTTAATCTACTGAGGAATTAATATTTTAACTTTAATTAAACACTTCAATATAGTTTGAGTACCTATTGTGATGAATACTATTTTAGGTGTTCCGATGAAGTTTACAATCTAGTTTGAGAGCTCAGACCTGAGTAATGAAAACAATGGAGAAAGAAATATGAATCAAGAAGCACCATAATACAGATGAATATGTGGAGAGGGCTTTCTTCTGTTTGTTCACACACACACACACATAATTGAATGAGGCTTTACCTTATAAATTTGGGAAGGAATTCATTAGATGAAAAATATTGTGTTTCACTAAGAAAGTTAACTTGAGATACTGGTAAAAGCTACAGGAGGTGTTAGTCAGAGGGGGGAAATATTTCAAAGATAGCAACAGCAAACAGTTCTGGAAAAGGTACCTGCAGGCTAAAAACAAATCATGACTAACAGAGATAAGAGATGGGATAAGAGATAGCTAAGCTCATGTTGAAGAAAGGAAATCTAGAGATGAGGTAAATAAGGAATAAGGGAGATGCGATGTGTTTGATTCTTCTAAAACAGCTTGGCTAATTTAGAACAAGTATTTTATAACAAAATACTTATATATCATTAAACATGAATATAAAGCCTCCTGATCCATACATGTATAATTTTAGTTCTTATACAACATAATCAAGAAACAGGCAAGCATGTAAGTGTGCCTGGCCCTGTGTTAGACTGTGGAGATGGAATGATAGAATCGCTACAAGAGAAGCAGTTTTATCAAATTCTTGAGTGAAGACTTCCAGAAACTAGGCAATTAAAATGCATCACTTAAGCCTAGCAACTATTTAGGGCAAGATTGCTTAATACTTCCCTTAAAAAATGATGTCCTTACCCAACCTTTTGGAAAACACCGAAGATTTTTATTGTTCTCATTTCCTGGTTTGATAATGTAACCCACAATTTAGGTTTTATAAATATATATCAAATAATTTTCAGCCTTTAAGTTTCAAAGAGACTGTTTATTAGTCATAACTTTTGAACAACTCTGTAAATACTTACACATGGAATGGAGAGATGACCTAGTAATCATAATTACAAGACAGGTTCCTGGGTGCAAGCGAACGAAGGAATGGTGAAAGAGTCGGCTGTGTCATTATGTGAACTATATTTTTTGTGTTTGATAGGTACGTGCCTAAAGTCCAAAGAGAAATGAAAATAACCACCAGAAAAAGTAATGGGGATAGTTTTCCTTCTCATGTTTAAGTTGTATATGAAAGAAAATGTAAAGTTCAGTAATACTTTGTAAAACTGTGATGTTTTATGACAAAGAAGCCATGACAATCCATGCTGTTGGGTCTCTTCCTTAGTAACATAAAAGTACCTTTCATTATAGATGTAAAGTACCTATGCAAAGGATTTTCACGGATATCACAAGAAGACATCTTTTTAAAAGGACAAGTTTCAATGACTGCGGTCACTATCCGAGTCTTTATTGCATTGGAAACAGTGTTTTCTCTGCCCACCAAATGAAGACAGTCCTCCACCCATCAGATGCCAGTATCACATCATTCTTTACTGGTTTCAGGTAACCCAGGTGCAAAATTCCTTGTAGTAGACATTTCCCCTGACCTCATTAAAAAAAATAAAAGTGTCACTGTTGTTGTGTTCTCATTTGCCATTATCAATAAACTGGTGCAGGAAAAAGGGATTTCCCCATATTTCCTTTTGTACCAGGAATGACTGATAAGAGGCTCTTTTAGTGAGGTACTATTTGAATAGTGGACACTGTTGGTGCCCAGATCCTCTTCACCAGCTGGTGCACCCATCCCCCAGCTGCTACCCTGAGTGTTGGCTTAGGTGTGTGTGTGGTTAATGGCTCAGCTGCCCTTGTCTCCACCCAACTGCCCTTGACCTTCCCTGCCCAAGAATGTTATGCACACTTCAATACTGAGGGACCCCCAGGAGCCAATGATACCACCATAAAAAGGCCAGTTGCATTGATTCAAGGTGGGATTAATGTTGACATACAATTTGTGCTCTAGTGGGATCAGAATTCAGTAGAGAAAAGTTCTTGCTTATCCCTCAAGAATCCTGTTCTCCTTACTCTCCTCCCAAGAGCACTTTCCAGTAAATCACTTGAATCAGAATGCCCCTTTTGGGTTCCCTTCCAGGAAACTTGACTCAAGACACTTGTTTTCCTCTAAGTTAACATTAAATGTTTGATGGATTTTTCTAAGCCATACTCTCCTTTAATGTTAGAACTCATTCTGGAAAAGGGAGAGAGAGAGAGAGAGAGAGAGAGAGAGAGAGAGAGAGAGAGAGAGAGAGGAGAGATTTGACAATTTAAAAATTTCCTTAAGAACTTGGAATTAAAACTTTAGGAATTTTATTTGGTAAGTATCTGATTTATTAGTAATTTTACTACTATACATATGAATTATTAGCTAAGAGAGAATTAAAACAAGCTGCTTTAGAGTTCAGTTGACTCATTTGGCAAAACAATGTAGGAATTAGAGAACCAATGGCTCTCAGATTATGTGTATCAGCAAACAAAACAAATTTATAGTAATAATGAAATTTTTACTTTTAGAAATAAACACAAGGCATTCTGCATTGTTTATTTTAGTTACTTACTGTCATAATCAGAAATGGGGTAAAGAGGAAAAAATTAGCAATTACCAATCCTAATAGTTTCCTCCTATTGGAGAAGCAGCACAATGATAAAATAATCAAAGTAACTAAAACAATCAAAGAAACTGGGATCATATTCCAGGTCCAACTTAAAAGGTACATGAACCCAGGTGTGTTAATAAAATTTTCTAACTTTCAATTTTCTGATATGTCAAGAGATTACCTGTTTCCAATTTGATTGAGAGGCTAAAATAAGAAGATAGACAAGAAAGTGCCTGATACAAGTAGTTTTCTACTGGTTTGCTCCTCTTTTGATGACTCTGGTTAAGTTTTAGTCACTCTTCTGCTATCTTATTTATTCAAGTAAAAAAATGGAAAAAATGCCACCATGTGTGTTTTTTAAACTAAGTTCAATAAAAACAGGGCAGGGACATTGCTGTAGTACAATTTGCACTGTACAACATGAGAAAGTCATATGCTTCTGTAATATAATCTAGGCTATATTTTTATGGAGAAAATCTGCAGTAGACTTAACAATTCATTGCATAAGGAAGTTGATGCCATGGGGCTTCAAAATCAGATGGATTTTGAACTTGACCCTTTTCACTATCCATCCTGCTTCCACATCCCTTTCCATGTACTTTCTTAAAAACTTTAATTACACATTACACACTCTTGGTAAGAACTTTTTCTGAGCCCAAGAATTTTCTCTGCCCGTAGAGTTTCAACCAAGATCCATATGAGCTTACCATTAACCTCAAACTTTATGGACTTCTAACAAGTAATATCAACTCCAATAGAGTAATCATAGAGGAAAGGAGAGGGAGAGAGAAACATCGATGATGAGAGAGAATCATTGATCAGCTGCTTCCTGCACGTGCCCTACTGGAGATTGAGCCTGCATCCCAGGCACGTGCCCTTGATTGGAATCGAACCTGGTACCCTTCAGTCTGCAGGCTAATGCTCTGTCCACAAACCTGCTATGGCACCAATAGAATAATCTTATTGGAAACCTGTTAGTCATCTCATAACTCCATTCCTAAGGATGTTCTGTGCCTGCATAAGAGTTTTAGTTTTAGAACATTTTATGCTTTCAAATATATTTTTTTAATAAAACAGTTTTAAAAAACACCCCTTTATAGGTAAAATTATCAAATAAATTTTAGTTTTAGAACATTTTATGCTTTCAAATATATTTTAATAAAGCAGTTTTAAAAAACACCACTTTGTAGATAAAATTATTAAATAAACTTTACATTAAACATGCAATGTGACAAATGCTTAAATAACTGTGATCCAAATGTTGTGTTAGAGCAGAAGTATAATGAATTATTGTGGTGAATTTGGAATGGACCAGACAATAC